AATCCCAGCACGGATATAGAAGGCTCGATTAACTTTTGCCAACTTGCGTCATTTATGGCGTAGGCGAGATATCCGTCTATCAGCCAAAGGGCGTGTTTACTGCGCAGCAGTTCGTCCCGTCCTACTTCATGGCAGTGAAACGTGGCCGGTAAGAGTAGAGGATATTCGTAGGTTACTAGTGTTCGATCATAGGTGTCTTCGAAATATTGCTCGTATATCCTGGGACCATCGAGTAAGTTGTTAGGAAACGGGTACTAGGTAAGGATGGCAAATCAATTGATGAAGTGATGAAACTTCATCAGTTGAGATGGCTGGGACACGTGTTACGTATGTCCAACGACCGACTGCCTCGGTATTCGATGTTCAGTAGTATAGGAGCAGGCTGGAAGGAAGCTAGGGGCGGCCAGACCAAAACATGGCTCAAGTCCATGAAGTCACTGACAAGTGGAGTGAGTCATGTTGGTAGGTTTAGACTACCTGGTTGCGGACCGCGAGATGATAGCAACCGATGGTTAGCGACCCTGAATGACATGGCTCAAAATCGTTTGCAATGGCGCAAGTGCATCCACTCTTTGTGTTCTCCCAAATTCTAATCTTCTGAATTCTTCATGTCCCTTTTTTCCTCTTTCTAAATTTATTTCACTGGATTATACTCCTTGAATCACATCTCCAAACCCTGATCTTCGCGATTACTGCTTATATTCTTGCTACCTCTACCACTACGGGATTTGAATCGACAACTGCATCTCTGTGTTAAGGTGGTATGGCAACTCGAACTGATGTACTTACGTACGGAGTTCCACGTTGTTACTGACTGACTGACGGTAGTTTGAGAATACTTGAGCTTTACCATAGTCGTCCTCTACTAATTATGAAGCTTTACTGTCTCCATATAGTTTTGGAGTAGTTCCCCTTTTTTAGTCCTCCTTAATGTCTAGATATGTTTCATTTTTCCTCTCGATATGCTCGTAATTTTTAGAATGAATCGATGTGACAAAATGTGGATTGATCATTTCCAGTGAAACATTTTCCAAGAGCACTTATACAGAAATACTGCTATGTAACAATCTGAACCATCTGCTCCCGACCGTAGCTGCTACCTTGACGCGGTGGTCGGGCTTGCCTATCGTGATGACCCAACCGAGCTATATTGGCTGGAACATATGTGCCTGTAGGTTCTACCATGCCAGGCAGGTCAATTGGAGAACGGTAAAACTAAAAGCAGCAACTTAAGGTCTGAGGACGAAGTCGTACTGCTGACTGTAGAGGGGTGTGACAGCCGTAAGGTGTTTCCCTTAGACAACCAGCACCTACAGCGATGCTACCTTCTCACAAGGAAGGAAGGGGTTAGAAAAAGCCGACCCTAAAATGTCACACCACACCTTACCTTTCGGATTTATGTCTTCGACGGTAAGGCCATTTGAAGAACGAGGCTAACACGTCAAAAAAACCCACGAAAAGGCCGTGTGCAACCGGCCTCAAGCAGTTGTCCCTTGGGCTCTGCGGTCACACTCCCAGGTCGTTAAGACCAACGCTAATCCGACTTCCTTTTCAGGTTCATCAAGAAATACCCTTCCACGGTGCGGGCAACCGGGAAGTGACACCAGCCCTCACACCCGTAACAGCACACGAGACCAAGTCGGTCACATTCAAATCCTTCCTACACCTCTTAATACCACTCTTATCTCCATGACTAACCCTCCTCACGTCTCTTTATCATCTCGCACCGCTAGGGCAAACGATTCAAGTACGCGGAACGTTATTCCTGGTCTCCTGAAACCACGCTCTAATCTACATGTAGGAGCTTTTAACGACCGAACACTGTGACAAATAGGACAACAGGCTTCCTTAGCTAGGACTTTAGAATCTCGTGCCATCGATGTGTGCTGCGTCTCCGAAACGCGCATACAGGATCCGAGTAGTGTCATTCATCTGACCTCACCATGCCAAAATAAAGAACCAACTCTATTCACAGTTCGTGTATCTGGAAGCCCAAGTGCTGCTTCTCGTGGACTCGCCGGCGTAGGCATAGCACTAAGTCCTAGGGCGAAACTAGCTCTCTTAGACTGAATCCCAGTAGACAGTCGTCCGACTAAACAGAACAATAAAGACTCGGAAAGATAGCAACGCTCGTCGTTGCCTCTTCGTCGTCTCTGCCTATTCTCCCACTGACTGCAGCTCAGATGATGTAAAAGATGAGTTTTACAGAAAGCTTTCCGACCTTCTCCGAAAAACTAGGCGCCCTGATGTAGTAATAGTGGCTGGTGACTTTAATGCTCAAGTAGGTAAACTAAGCAAAAGGGAAAGACACCTAGGTGGATCTTATAGTGTCATGGCTCAAAGAACAGATAATGGCGACCGTCTGTTGCAGCTATGCTCAGATAATCGCCTGTTCCTTGCAAATACTAACTTTAAGCATAAGGAAAAACATCTTTTGACACGGCGATCCCCTAATTTTGTCCCAACGTTGGACCCAAATGGATCACATCGCTATCAGCCACCGATGGAGGGGCTCGATAGGAGACTGTCGCTCATTCTGGAGCATATGCTTAGATTCAAATCATGCTCTAGTGCGAGCGCGTATTTGCCTGCGTCTTACTGGTTGTAGGAAAGACTTTACAAGGAAACCTCTTAGGGTCCTATTTACTGATAGTCAAGCTAAGAGTATATTTCAGGAACAACTAGGAAAACAGTTAGGCAGCCACGTAGGAGATGCCCACCCCGTGGCAGCATGGAATGATATCCGAAAAGCTGTGGAAACAGCAGTGATATCTGCTAGTATGGTAAACCGTAAGGTTAGGGAGCAACACTGGATCTTAACAGCATCTACCGCACTGATATATGCTCGAAAACTCATTCCATCTGGATCTGAACATAACGAAGAGCGTAGTCAGCTTAAGCGCAAGCTGACAAGAAGCCTGCGCGATGATCGCGAACAGTGGTGGGTAGCGAAAGCAAGTGAATTGGAAAAGGCAGCGGCAATAGATAATAGCAGACAATTGTTCAGACTTGATAGGGAAACCGGTATTAGGAACCCGACTGTTAGCGAAACAATCTCAGAGAAAGATGGACATACTATACATTCTCAATCCAGGAGATTGGATCGTTGGGCAGAACACTTTAAAGATCAGTCCAACTGGCCTTCAGCCACAATTCGGTTTCCCACGATCTCTAGTCAACCTGAATGGCAAGTTAATTTAGGTCCTCCGACTCTTTATGAAGTTGAAAAAGCCATGGGAAATCTGAAGCGAGGGAGAGCAGCAGGCACTGACAGATTTACTCCTTAGATTTTTAAGGATGATGGTCCAGTATTAGCAGTGAGGTTAACTGAGGTCTTAGGTAGAATTTGGAACTGGACGCAATCCCATCTGATTAGTTTCAATCTCTGATTGTGCCAGTGTAAGGAAGGACAAAAGTCCTCTTGTGATAATCACATAGGAATCAGTTTGACTAATATAGTGTCTAAAATATTAGCTTCAATAATACTTCGACGCCTAACCAAAGCTCGTGAAGAACAGACTAGAGAAAACTAGGCTGGTTTTCGACCTGGACGTGGTTGTATAGACCAGATATTCACACTACGTCAGGTTCTAGAACACAGACACACGTTCAGACGCCCCTTAATCGTAGTATTTCTCGACCTTAAGGCAGCATTTGACTCTGTTGATTGTGAGGTTCTATGGCAGTGTTTTTCATTGAAAGGAGTACCAGAGAAGCTTATGGCGAATTGTCATCAGAATTGATTACCTCATGTGGTGTTCGTCAGGGCTGCCCACTCTCCCCATTCTTGTCCAACTTTGTGGTCGACGTACTTTTAGAGATAACACTTTCCTCATTTAAATTTCCAGGGGTTGAACTTCTACCAGGAGATTCACTTGTTGACTTGGAATATGCCGATGACATAGTTCTATTTGGTGAAGACGCCGACAAAATGCAGAGTCTTCTGACCACTATAAGCAAAAATGCAAGCATGTTCGGAATGCGATTCTCCTCCTCGAAATGCAAAGTGTTGCTTCAGGATTGGGTTGCATTGACACCCGAACTAATGATAGGGAGTGAAGTAATTGAGCGTGTCGACCGCTTCACTTATCTTGGAAGTCTCATCAGCCCTTGTGGTGTGGTGTGTGATGAAATCCCAGCACGGATACAGAAGGCTCGACTAGCTTTTGCGAACTTGCGTCATTTATGGCGTAGGCGAGATATCCATCTATCAACCAAAGGATGTGTTTACTGCGCAGCAGTTCGTTCCGTCCTACTTCATGGCAGTGAAACGTGGCCGGTAAGAGTAGAGGATATTCGTAGGTTACTAGTATTCGATCATAGGTGTCTTCGAAACATTGCTCGTATATCCTGGGACCATCGAGTAAGTAACGCAGTTGTTAGGAAACGGGTACTAGGTAAGGATGGCAAATCAATTGATGAAGTAGTGAAACTTGATCAGTTGAGATGGCTGGGACACGTTTTACGTATACCCAACCACCGACTGCCTCGACGTGCGATGTTCAGTGGTATAGGAGTAGATTGGAAGAAAGCTAGGGGCGGCCAGACCAAAACATTGCACAAGTCCATGAAGTCACTGACAAGTGGAGTGAGTCATGTTGGTAGGTTTAGACTACCTGGTTGCGGACCGCGAGATGATAGCAACCGATGGTTAGCGACCCTGAATGACATGCAATGGCGCAAGTGCATCCACTCTCTATGTTCTCCCAAATTCTAATCTTCTGAATTCTTCATGTCCCTTTTTTCCTCTTTCTAAATTTATTTCACTGGATTATACTCCTTGAATCACATCTCCAAACCCTGATCTTCGCGATTACTGCTTATATTCTTACTACCTCAACCACTACGGGATTTGAATCGACAACTGCATCTCTGTGTTAAGGTGGTATGGCAACGCGAACTGATGTACTTACGTACGAAGTTCTACGTTGTTACTGACTGACTGAACCATCTGCTATAATCGCCCCTACCTCCTTTTTTTAGAGTTGTCTACCAACACTGATACGTTTATGGCCTGGAGTAGTCCGGTACTGTCAACCCATTACAAACAACATCTTTTTGTAGGTCTCTTGAAATCTCGTTTGAATATTAATCCGACGAGCCACGTCATACTGTATTGAGTGCTGATTGTGTTCTTCCCTTTTAATCCAGTGAACAACTGGTTGCTGTTGAATTTATTTTCAGTAAGTCAGTAATAAACAACATAGAACTTGTCAAGTTGAGACACCTTACCAGCACACCCAAATGAAGTTACGGAGACTGGTTAAAGTATTAACGGTATCATTGGTAGTAAAAACGACTAGATATAGATAATATGATTTGAGGTAAAAGAATAAATTAGGGAAGTAAAAACTATGGGATAATTTTAAAACTAAAGATGTAAGCTAAGACAAAAATTAAATGTATATGCACTATTCAGACCGGCTCTGAGCTTTGCAGCTGGTTTTCCATAACTGTTAAGGTCTCACGCGTATTTAAATGTGGAATGCTAACGATATATAGTTGCAACACACCTAAATTCACTTATTTGGTCTTAAAACCATACTCGAGCCTTTAAGCGACTCACAATTATTCGGTGTAATATCCTTTGTTTCTCTTGTGTATCATATGATAACCCCAGACTTCCTTTTAGTGTTGAATCATTGCTAGAATCTTTTTAAAGAACTTACGTTTAGCTTAATGAATAAACTATATTGATAAACGGGATGTTTCTTGAAGTGTCATAAAATTAACAGGGATCAAAGCTTTTGAGCATTATCTGGACTTTGACAGCGAAACATATTTACGTTGCTATAAATCGATAAAAAATACATATATTAGTCTGTAGTAGTACATAATCTGTCTAAAATTTAATTTCTGGCTTGTAACATCTCATTTAGCGAATGTTTAGGAAGGATGCATAAAAAACGTATATCAGTCAGTCAGTCAGCTACAACGTAGGACCAGACACATATGTGCATCGGTCCAGGTTGCCATACCTCATTAGCACAGCAAGATGAACACCGAATTCATAGGAGTGGTTAAGTCAAAGGTGTTAATATATAGGAGAAAGATTGCAATAAGGATATAGTATAGGAAGAAAGAATTACCTAGTAGAAAAAAAGATATGAAGTGATTTTAATCTCATAGTTTAAGGGAAGACAGGGAGTGTATACACCAACGCCATTGTGATCGATTCTGAGCCATGTCACCAAGAGTCTCCAACCATCGGTTACGAAAGTTACGCGGACCCCAACCAAGTAGTCTGCATCTACCAACATGGCTCAGACTAGAAGTTAGTGATTTCAAGCACTGATGCCACGTTTTGGTTTGGCCGCCCCTAACTTTCTTCCAACCATCTCTAACACCCGTTAGCATTGCACGACGTGGTAATCAGTGTTCAGGCATACGTAACACGTGACCCAACCATCTCAGTCGATGAAGATTCACAACCTCATCAACTGATTTACCATCATTCCCTAATACCCTGCGTTTAACCTCACTATTACTTACCCGGTGATCCCAGCAGACGCCAGCAATATTTCTAAGGCATCTGTGGTCAAATACTAGTAGCTTACGAGTGTCTTCTACTCTTAAAGGCCATGTTTCGCTGCTGTAAAGTAAAACAGAACGGACTGCCGCGCAGTATACTCGTCCTTTTATTGATAGACGGATATCTCGCCTTCGCCAAAGGTGACGTAAGTTGGCAAAAGCCAGACGAGCTTTTCGAATCCGTGTTGAGATTTCGTCCGATACCAACCCATTAGGGCTGATCAGACTTCCAAGATAAGTGAAGTTGTCGACGCGTTCGACCACTTCACTCCCTATCCTTAGTTCAGGTGTTGACGCAGGCCAGTCCTGAAACAAAAACTTGCATTTAGAGGGAGAGAAGCGCATTCCAAACATTCTGGCATTGTTGCTTAGTGCTACCAGAAGACTGCATTTTATCAGCGTCTTCACCAAACAGGACTATATCATCTGCGTATTCTAAGTCGATAAGTGGACCTCCTGGTAGGAGATCAGTACTCGAGAATTCAGTCGACGAGAATGTCATTTCCATCAAGACGTATATCATCATTCAAAACTTTTACAGTTGATCCAAGGTTTCAGGAAGTAGTTAAAATTCCAACAGCGGACAAACACTTGTCCTCCCACATTGCTGGATTCATTTTTGATACTTACGAAGCTGCGTGGTTGCCTGATTCTATGTTTACTGATATTATCCCATCAACCAGTGGTTGGTAGGTTTAATGGACTCAAAAAGCTCATGTATGAAAATCCACTACTACGTATTATTTTAAATGGTGATCTGACCCTGTCTTATTTGTTTTATGAAATGAAGAAATCATTTTCAAGTTTCATTTGTTTCATGTTGTATTGTATCTACTCTTGTCTTTGATAGTCAAAGCATTTACTGCGATTGAGTTCGGGAATTTGTTATTGATATCAACTCTGTTAACATACTCCATACTGTGATAATGAATATTCCATTAGCCCTCCGTATTTCTTCGGACTTACTGACGATTATTTTACGTAAGTTGATTCTCGTACTCGATTTCCTTGTTTCTAGTTCATGTTGTTTATTTTCTGATCAAGTACTGTGGAAGTCATAAATGGAGTTTCTTCTGTGATGATTGGAGTATCAAATATCCATATAAAGGCAATACTATTACTGATGTAGTAGTAACCGTAGTTAGTTATCTCACGCCACTTGTTACAGTAAATTGTGTTAATGAGAAAATAATCTGTTTGAAAAGATTTTCTTAGTTGAGATAATCACTGCTGTACTGAAGAAACGTACTGAAAATAAAAATTATTCAATTAAGGGTGTAAGTTGTCACTGTAACTAATCACTCATGTTATCTTTATTTATTTTCTTAGTCTTTACCATTTATCTATGATTTCTGTGTTGCCGCTCTTATATCTCTTGGAACGACGTTTTTTCTAACTACAATTACAAAATACAATCTTGGCCGGTTGAGGCCACATTTTTGGGATATTTGCCAACCAAATGTCCCTGTAAATTGTACTGGTTTGCAGACAACGTATACATGTCAGGGTACCAATTCAAAGTTGATTGCTGATGTATTGTAAGTAATATTTTCCTTTATTCAAATCAATAAGTTCTCCCACTCTTAATAGTTTTGATTATAAGTCAATTTTATCTCAAAATAATTTAAAAACAGAGCACACTTAAAAGTTTTATTTTGAGACTCTGTGAAACTTATGGAGTCAAACAGTTATTTTTAACCAATTAATTCAACTCTCTTGATCTCTTCTGTGTTTTCATTTAAAAGAGCTTTGTGTCTTTAAATGTCGCAATGCTTGCCAATATTAGTAGATATTCTGCATGCTCATGAAAAATCACATGTATTCACTTTGTTTTCACAATACTTTTACAATACGTTTTATGAACTAGAATTAAGAATTCTGATTTATTTTTAGGGCCCGCGTGATCGGTTTATTTGACGACAGGGTCTACTAATGATGACTACGCTTATTCCTATCAGACCACCGACCTTCACTTGACAAATAACACGATTTAACCGATAAAAATGATCGTAAACAGTGACCCATAAAATTCTTGTTCTTATTTTTCTCCAACATAGCTTTCCTCTATCCCAATATCCAGTTCTAAGTCAAGCACATCAAGTCAAGAAATTTTATTATTATCGATTCATTCGTTGTCACTTACTCAAAACTCAGAATTAATTATCTCACCGCATAGCACCACGAATTACATTGTCTGTATGACTACACCACAAGTGAAAAAACGAAGTAGTAAGTTCGTACTTAATCTACAACAATTTAGTGAAGGTAAACCACATGACAATTGTGTATGCATCAAAAAGAAGCTTACAGTACTAAGAATGTAAATGACAATAATCCAGGTATTCAGTAATTACGTAGTAAAAATAAAGAATAATAACTCGTGATATGTTAGTTCTAAAAGTTCCAACTTTCTCAATATCCTTTCTGTTCTAACACCGTGGGATTTAAATACATAGTTTTCTGATTTTAGGTTTTATCGGTAATGCTATTCTACAACTTAAAACAGTCATGCTAACTTTCCTAATTAAAGCCAGGTACCTACTCTAGAACAAGAGGCTATATTAAGAACAATTTACCATCTTTGTTAGCACCCAAAATTGGCTCGATTACTGTCTTGCATGAAATTATTGCAATACACAAACATTAATTTTGCATTATTATTTAATTAAAAATTCAGAATTTTCATATTCTGTTTTATCGAATCAACTTTCGAAAACTAAAAAGTTTATTCATATGAATTCATCAATATACATTGTAAGAGTTCATCAAATTCAACCATTTCACCGAATATTGTTCAGTCGTTTTATTCAAGATCAAACTTATGAATTACAATAGCAATACAATCATTTACTTGAATTTTTTATTTATTAAATTTGTTACTTAATCTTCATAGTTTTACTAAATTAACACAAAAATCAACTTAGCTAAAATTACATTCATGTCATTACATACTCTTACACTGAACATCTTTCTGATAAATCATATTTAATAATTTAACATCAACAATATTCTTTTGCTTTGTCATTATTATTTTATCTATTTAGTTTGTCATTCATGTCAGGCCATGCATCAACAGCTTCTGCTAGTTTATTCTTCACTGTGGTAGGTGTGATTTATTTTAAAAATGACCTTTTAAACTGTACTTCGTTATGAATTAGGCTAGTAATGATTGTCCTTATGGTTCGGGTTTCATTCATCCTCAAGAGGTTTATATACTATTTAAGACTTAATCTATACAATAGATGTGGCTTGTGATTTACTACACAAACATTTTTGGAATCACATTTAAGTTTTATTATTATTATTATTATTATTATTATTATTGTGATGAGGTGAGCTGTGTAGTGGTTAATTTCATGCAAATACGGTTTATTGCATCGTAAAGATTAATTGAGTTTAACAAAACATTAGAATATGTGTCCTAAAGGAGGATTTTGTTATTTATGACCCAAAGCATTTTGGATGGTTGAGATAAATTAGTGGAATTCGGATCCATAAATCCTGCTCGATGATGCAATATCATACACTGATAACTACCCACTAAATTGAATTATCGATGAAAAATTTATAATGGAACTGCTTTTAAAAGACAAGACAACCAGTCAGAAGCTTGATTACATGTCATTTAACAGATAAGTGAAAAGGCGATAGTAGTTTCTTAGGTCACTCACTAATCAAATAAGGACCCTTGTATCAAGCTTAATTCTTATTCAAAATGTCGTCATAGTTGGTTGGCAAGGTCAGAGTTGATACCATTCAAGAATAATAATTGTTTTGTGTTGTAGAGATTAGTAAATCAATAGTGGTGAAGATTTGTAGCTCAGATGGATGATTTTGGTGGAGTTTTGTTCTCTGAGCTGGATGGTTTGGTCGTGGAGCTTTCATCGTTCTTCTGAACGACATCATCAGCACAAACTTCAGATAGAAGTGAAGTGTTCGAATTTCTCCATATGTGTTTCACAGCTTGTTCTGTGCACCTCGATGTTGATTGGTTCTTATTGACCTTAAATTTATCATTGTTTACTTCTTTGTTTTGGTTGTCTCCCATTGTTTTGATTTTTGTCCCTATATTTATGCGTCAGAAACCGCAACGAGACTGCTGAAAACCTTCTGGATAGGTGTGGCACACAAACCGACAAAAACACTACAATCAATCCTATGCAAACCAAAGGATGAAATAACAAAGGAAAACAAATCAAACATCATCTACAAAATAAATTGTACCAACTGCGACATACACTACATCGGACAAGACGGACGCCCCCTCCACCTTCGCCTACATGAACATCAATTAGCAGTCAAACGCCATGATATATCTTCACTTATATCAATACACGTGGATAACTATGGACACTCATTCGATTGGAAAAATGTAGAAATCTTATACAGAGGAAACTCCAAAATACTAGAGAATTTTAGAAGCCTGGCATTCAGGTCAATCAGCAATCAACAAACATATTGAAATCAATCCAATTTATCAACCATTCAGGAAAATCATGCATAAATATAGGGACAAAAATCAAAACAATGGGAAACAACCAAAACAAAGAAGTAAACAATGATAAATTTAAGGTCAATAAGAACCAATCAACATCGAGGTGCACAGAACAAGCTGTGAAACACATATGGAGAAATTCGAACACTTCACTTCTATCTGAAGTTTGTGCTGATGATGTCGTTCAGAAGAACGATGAAAGCTCCACGACCAAACCATCCAGCTCAGAGAACAAAACTCCACCACAAATCCATAGTTCAACCATTGTGTCGAGGTGAGGTCGTGGATGCCCACTTTTGAAAGGTCCCATACTAAAACGTGTAATGATTCTTGGTTTTCAATGGTTGTCTTACTAAAGCCAGTTCATGATGTAAAATAATTGTTGTATTTCGTCACATGAAAAACGGCATCGTGAACTTTGGAAATCAATTAGTTAAAAAGTGGGAAAATACGATCCATGATTAATGACATATTTTTCCAGGAAAATGACAAACTTCTTGTAAAAAGGGTAGTTTGAATGGATGCTAAACTTATTACATTTTATACGTATATGTAAAGATATCTCTATTTAATCTTAAGGCAATAATAAAGAATTTAGAACCTGATATAAATATACATCAGCCAATTTTCCATCGGACTTCACGTCAACACAGAAAAAGTCAATAAGTCATCAACATGATCGATTACAGTGGAAAGCTAAACACATTTAAGATATAGCTAGGATAAAATCGATCAATAACGATTATGATATTAAGACTTAATATTCAAACTGTGTCTAACTAGGGACATAATATTTTTGACTTTCTAATCTATATAAGGTGGACTTAGTACTGACACTTTTTTGTTATAAATACAATTTTCGCCAACCCCATTTTAATTAACTTCAACATATTAATCACACCTACTTACGTTTGATGAAAAAAATAGGTATGTTTATCTGTGAATTGAGTTGTAAACTGTAATATCTTATCAGGATCATGGTGGCATGACTGTTTGTTGTAACTGAGTAACTGTTGCTAGTTGTTCAGTGAAAAAAAAGACTAATGGAAAGAAAAATGCAAGACTATGGTTGAAGATTTACTTTCGCTCCGTCTATTGATTCAAATGACATTTTAAAAAGAATACAATAAAATATCGATCATTTTAAATCTCCGATTAATTGATAAATTTACATATATATTGATCTAGCACTAATTGACAATAATTAATCAATAGATTAAATACTTTTATTAATAAATGTGACTAAATTACTGTGCTAAATATTTCATTTTTTGCTAATAAAAACTATACTAATTTTTTTATGTTGAAGTAATTCATTCGTAAATTAATCAACTTGTCAGTATTGTCTTCTTTTTCGAGTTCGATGTAGCCAGTTATTGTGACTTTCCAGGGTTTTCTAACGTACTTTTTGGTCAATCTATTAATGTTAAGTGACAGAATAAAGAGTTATTTACAATACATGTAACTTTCCCCTACTGTTTTAAAAAAAAAATAGATAAACACGTATATCTTAGATGCTGAAATATATGTTAATCCAACACCAAATTTATTACTTCTTTTACAGATTTATTTACAGGCTCGACTGCATCTACCTGTTATACCTTTCCTACGACCATTTCTACAATACGTTCTGCTTTCTGTTTTGTTTTACATATGCGCCACACGTGTAACTGATCATTATCATCATCCAACAGATGTATTAGCTGGAGCTATATTAGGCCTTTTGACTTCTGTCTTCGCCGTAAGTACCTTCTCCTTCTCTAAATTACCATTCAGAAATGGAAATTTTTTATACTGGTTCTATCCAACTTTTAATTTATAAACTTAAATCATGTAAAGGATGTTTTAAGAAGTATTTTCAAGTGATTTAAATAATTGTAATGGATCTACAATTGACTCTCGTTGAACTTGAACGAAAAGTCGGAATATGCTAATTAATCGACTTTCAATCAACCAGTTCTCGTTTACAAATCGAGAATTCAGGAAACTCCTATGTGAATTCTAATGTTTTTTCCTATTGGGTCTTTGATTTTCAGGTTTATTAGAGTGTATATTGTTGAATTATTGTTCTGATTTGGAAAGATTTTATTGAAATGGTGTCCAAGGAATAATAGCCAGTAGAATAACTCAATACATTGATATTCTCAAGTCCTAAGAATATTGTATGATAATAGTGATGTATTGCGAATTGACTGAAACTAATAAATATAAACAATTTAATCTAGACTCAGGGTCTAAGTGGTATGTGGAGCTCACTTTGAGAGACCTTAATGTTTCTAAGTTTGATTCCATGTAGAGAAGTTGGCGCACACTTCCGGTGAATCTCAACCTTGAACTAAATGTCTGTCCATTTATCTTCGGTTTTCATTCACTCTATATTTGATATCAGTTCCTGATGAAAGTTATATTCAATTTGTTTTTTTGTTTTTTTTTTGCTGCTTAGTAGTATGGTATGGCATGTTTCTCATCATGAATTAATAACAGCTAGAGCTAAACGCTTCGTATTTTTGACTTCAGTTATTTCACGATATAGGGCAACAAATTTTCAATGTACTTCTGGTATGTCATTTTCAAAATAGCTTAATGCTATCAGTCATACTGAGTAACAGTTCGCTTTGTATCCCTCTGTGACTGTAAAACATGGCCTATAAAATTAAATGACATGCGTAGACTACATATTTTTGATCATAAGTTTCTTTGAAGTATTCGCTGCGTATCATGAAACAGCCGAGTGAGCAATGTTGAGATTAAGTATATGGTACAAACAGGAGATGAAAAATTGGTTGATTAGAGTATGAATCTTCATCAACTTAGGTCTTCAACCACTGTCTATTTCAACGTGTAAATTTGGCTAGAGTAAGAGAAAGTTGAAAACTCGATGTGGTCAAACTAGGTAGGGGCATCATTTCATGGAGTCACTAACTCTTTGTTGGTCTAAGCCATGTTAATAAATTCAAACTACCTGATTAGGATCCTCGGGGTTGTCGCTACCAGTTGTTGGAGACAGGGGTTATGTGAGTTAGATTCGGTTACGCAAGGAACACTTTCACTCATTATCTTGCCTCAGATCATGTACCAAGCTCTACATTTATTATAACTGACTGATCAATCAGTATATTGTGTTTGAACTTACGGGTTCTATGTTAAAGTTAATCCATGATGATAATCTATGACCAAATTGAAGTAATATCAGCAAAGCATTAAACTAAACAAACAAGTTTTTAACCGTCTATTTTGTTTACCCGTATAATCTGAACACATAATATTGAATAAGGTCATTATTATCATTAATTACTGGATCAAAACCTTTAAACTTCAACCACTAAGATCGGTTTCAATAATCACGTAGTATATAAACGTGTACTATACAAGTGAGCTACGACTACCCAATTAAATATATCAATAAATTCATTTTGTCATATCTATCTTGCTTATCGGCCTAGTTTATACAATTAAAGATTTAGATATCTCATATAAAAATGATGAAAACATTTTTTTAGAAGTTACTAATCTTTTTATAGTATAATTTAAACAATATTGATTAGAAACCACGTGTTGTACCAGGTCCGATATTTCACAATAGTTGTCTCTACTTTTTTACTAACTTATTCTTGACTTTCTCCATTCAGGTTTATTAAACTATATTATATGAATTCATAGGGTGAATGAAAAAAGTAACTTCTGCTTAAGGAATAAAACTAGGTAGATCACTAACTATTCAATCCCTTAGACATTTAGCCGTATTTGTGTTGTACATACAATGCATGAATGTCATAAACTTGTCCAATACTATAATCAGTAAGCAGTAGAACAGAAATTAAATAGTCATCCACTAGTTCCATTATTGATTATTTTGTTTTCGTTTATTCATCTCCTTAATTTAATTCTTGTTTCCATTTCTCACAATTTGTATGAATTGATAGAACGATGAAATTTTGTTCTATAGTTTATATTTCACAGAACAAGAAAAACTAATTTGAATGGTGTGTTGTCAAACAAAAATAATGTATAACGTATACACAGATTTTATTACAATCATTTAGATTAATTTGATGACAACATGTAATTATTAAATATGTTGTTATGAAGAGTTCAATAATCTGTTTTTATTGGGGGTGGCGTGTGGAAATAAATGCACCAGTATTTGTAGGTGATATTGCCATTTTGTAGAACTGTATCGTAACTATTTGTAAACATAATGTGATAGCGTTTAGTGATGACCAGAAATGGAATCTAGAGATTTTTAGCTAAGTGTATATGTGTGTTCCAATAATTTTTGATGTTATTTTCAATCTATCATGTATTGATTTGTACTCCAGAGTATTTTGTCAGTAAACGAATAATTCTACATGTGTAGATATGACACTGCATGTTTTAAAGACAAAACGATGTAATTTTTTGCTAATAAAGTCTTATTTTACATAGTTGATTGAAGGCTGTTCAACATTAGCACAGTTGAGACATTTCTATATGATATTCATCTTATAATCACATTAAATTTCTAGATGAAATTTTAACGACAATCCACCATAATCATTTGGTTGTAAAACTAACTCAATGTACTCAAACGACGGCTGGTTCAGTTCAGAATATCAAATCATTTTGTGGTGGCTAGCAGTGGAATAGAACGAAACGCGCGTCCTGGACTCCACTGCTAACCATCATCCATCTTTGCTTATAATGCTTGTAAACTAAGGCATTATCGAGGCGATCCGCACAGGATGCGCATATACCAATAAGAGACTGATCAATTGCAGTCCTAAACTCAATAGGAAGATGGAAACAAACAATACAAAATGAATTAATACAACGAAATGTATATAATGAGCATGCAATTAGCGATAGAATAGCTTTATTTGAGATCATTAACCGATCAATGTTAGACTACCATCGAAAACCTGGAGGTACTGGACGGCTTTCTCGTCCTGGTGTGGGACTCCTCAACAGTGCACATCCGCAATCCTGTACGTGGGGTTCGGACCCAGGACCTTCGGCCTCGCGCCCGAACGTTTAACCTCTAGACCACTGAGCGGGCATCCAGTAGCTTTAATGTCTAACTTCAACCAACCATCTTCTATTGTCTTCGGTAGGTAACTGTCTCTCACAGGTTTTTTAGTGGTGGTCTGACATTGATCGATTCATGTTCTCAATTAAAACCTAACAGTCCACGCAACCATATGCTGAGAATAGCTTCAATTGTTACCTTCAAATATAATTATCGTTTATGAAATAAAATCCATATCACACACCATTTCCTCCTTCGATACACAAAGCAATACCTAAGCCTGTCACTCATTTCTGTTTTTCTTATTTACCTTTTCCACTTTCTCTTTCTGCAGTTTTTTTGGTATTTGGGTAACGCGTTCAGTCAAAACGAAAGTGTTAAAACATCTCCCTAATAAGCTGATGATGCAGTTCAGGATACCGCTTCCGGTCATTGGCTACAAAAAGAAAATTGGAAGTGGAGTTACTTCTTTTTCTTTAACAGAGATTTTGATAACCGTAACTTCTTGATGCATATCCCTTTTTAAGTAATAAAGTTCCTGCTTACTTGTTCTATTATTATTTTTTTATTCCATTCCTAGACTAATTTACTACTTTGATCAGTTTCAATTTTTTAACGTTAAATAAATGGTGTATATTCGTTTTTATGGTTGAGGTTGTTTGCTTGCGCGTTTAAAACAATTATGCAAGTGGTTAGATAATTGAATCTTTTCGGATTGTTTTATCTATGGGGTTTTCTGTTCCCCGAATAATTAAAATCCAGTATACCATTCATCCATACTACGTTCTTTTGTTTCGTCTTTAACTGATGTGTACTGATTTCAAACAAGCTCCCCATTTTTATTGTATCACCTAATCATTTCAGTTTATAACTTCATAATGCAGTGAAAATCACTGACCATGCAAAACATTCATTGTGCATCGGGGGTTACAGGGTATTAAAGAATCTAAACCAAATAATAATACTTAAAGTTACGGCTTTTTTCCAGTAGTTTTTTTGGAAATCGTGATACGCATTCTCATAAAATTAATGTTACTGCCAAAGTCATAAATGACAAGATCCAAATTGGTGCAGATATGTAACTTACTGGATTAGGGAGGTGATAATACTTGTTTTTACCGAAGAGACGACTAGTTGTTTTGGACGATAACTTGGCATTCGGAACTGACAAACACCAATCCATCATAAATCTGAGACAGTCTTGTAGTTAGCTCAAATTACGTATCAGAGAGTTCCGCATATTACGTAATTACTTTCCCTCCTAGCTATTTTCGTTTGTTGGTATTTCAAGCTTGTACAACATTTTATTATCGTTAGTATTACTACTGAAGGTATATTCTAAACTGCGTGTCACTCATGATACGATAAACTTTATCACGCCTATTTTTCGAATTCTCATCCCCTATGTTGACAATCGTGACTGTACATCTGTTGGTGAAATGCATTTTCGCTAACATACATGTAAGTTGACATGCACTTAACGTTGGAAGACATTTTTAGTCGCCGAAATGTATTAACGTGAAATGAAGTTGAAAAGTCAATGAGTCTTTTACAAACGGTTAGTTTTCTGTTACTTCGTAATATTGACAGTTCACTTCTATTGATTATGTAACTATACGGTGCAACATGGATAGAAATAATCCCGAGTTAAGTTACATATTTTTTTAAACATTTGTACACTAGAATAACCCTATGGCACATTAACGTTATCACTAAGTAAACATTGTAGAACGAAGTATACGATCTGGGAATCAGTAACTAGAACTAGTTACAAAAGGAGCAAGATCGTAATGAGAAAGTTTAACTCAATTCACAATCATCCTTTTAATGAAAAGTATTTGCAAAATGCATGGTTTCAAGGACTTTGCAAAATCGGATCGCAACACCTTAATCTCCTTATTTTGGGGAAATGCTACTAAAACCCCGAAAATTTCAAGTTATTTTGCGTAAATTTTGATTTTCCTTTAATATTTCCGAAAACTTTGGGGATATTAACTTATATTCTTTGATAAAACTCAAAAATTTTCTCAACGTTTTGGTGAAATCATTAAGAACTAATCAAGATTTTCGCCGAATTTAGTCATTTTTCTTTTTTATGTGTAGTTTTTTTTGCAAATTCAACACAATTCTAAAACTCGCACCTATATTCTTCACATAAATGTTTATGTTGTCGTTCCAACTGATTTACTTTTAACTAACTCTCATTCCCTACTTCTTGAAATTCTTGAAGAGAAGTTAAAGTACCGGCCAGTAGTGATTTCACAGGACGAGCTGTGTCGAAGCATTTAACCAACGTCGATGGAAGTCCGCTTCCTTTTATTTGATTCTGAAGTGGTCGATCAGTTAGATCTAACGCAATCACAACCTAATATTGATGAATATAATTCTTCTGCTTGAACATTTGTCAGTAATTTTCCAATGACCAAACCAAGCTCGACTTCATGATGTACTTCCCTGGTCCCATTTGGCATTTTAAATGTTACCCTATCAACAATTCAACTGGGTTTTAAAAAGACGACAGGTGAAGATCCAACTTTATTTCCTAGTTTTTTTTGCATGGTCTGCATAGTTTCATCCAGCGCTTTAACTGGGCCGGTGGACAGGATGAGTCCACCTAGGGGAGTTGGGAAACCCTGATTCCAAACTAATGGTGTACATGGGCTCCAGGATCCTAAGGGGGAAATTGGCGTATGAACCAATCGTTGGTCAGCGACTGCAATGGGACTGCATCTCCTCACGATGCTCCACTGCCTTGTGCATCAGACCTTTAATTCAAAGGCTCGGGGTGTGGGCCCCTAGTAAGACCACCTGCTTCAGCCTGGACACCCGGGCAGTATAATAGCCCTCAAACAATTAAAATGAAATGACAACGGTTATTGGTTATATTACTCGCACACTTATTACAAATCAAATAGCCCGTGCCCATTTGTTAACCTTCACTTTCATTTTTTTGTACTGCGTCACTTATCCATCCACTTCCATTCTCACCTCGCTTATGTTGGGAGTTCTGTTCCATCTAAACAATCTCGAGTAACTGCGTGGTTGAAAGTTGAATGCTACCACCGAGTACGAATACTGAAACCACGTATATCATTCAAACTGGCTCCCTTGAACATTTACACACTAATGCAGGTCGGACAGCAGTTAGGGATGGCTACGTCTTTAGGTAGTCTTAATATCGACATCTGTTGTCTATCCGAGACCCCTATTCAAGACTCTGGTGAAGTACTACAAATTCGCTTTCTATCTGTCGCTTCGAAAATCTTGTTTTACGTGCGTTTATCTGGGGACCCCACGACATCGTCTGGTCGTTTTGGCGTTTGTGTCACACTAAGTGCTAGAGCTGAGGCAGCACCAATTGACTGGATCCCCATTAACAGTCGGCTATGTGCTGTTAGATTAGAAAGTTCCATCAGTGTTGGGGACGTTAGATCCCCAAAACTCATATTTTGTGATTTTATCTTTGTGGAGCTTGTATGCAGATGTATGCTTGGGCATTTCTTACCACCCACGCACACAGTGGATTGAAAAATTTATCGATTAGATGCTTAAATATTTCAATGGCAGTCGACTGACGAACTTGTCGATTAAATGTTTAAAAAATTCCATGGCAATATCTATTATATATATTGTATAAATACGCTTGATTTCTGTGCATGAGGGACCTGGTATTTTCTGGTTGTCTGAGAATAAACTTTGTACATCTTGACAAAACTTCTGGATCAGGTTAGATGAGTCGGGGACAACGGACCAGTATATCCTATTGAGCCTCTGTATCCTTGATTCTTCGTTCCGTTACGAGTAAGACGAATCAGTAGTGGCATTCAAGTTAACGAAGTGAGGAGAAACCGGTATGAGGAACAATGTGTTTTCGTCATCTCCGCCTACGCCCCGACAGATTACTGCCCGGATGCAATCAAGAATGAATTCTACCACCAGTTGATTGTTCTGCTCCAGAAATTGCGTTCGACAGATATTGTAGTACTAGCCGGAGACTCGAATCCTCAGGTCGGGCGTCTAGGCACAGAAGAGTCGTTTAGGTGGACGATGGTGACTTGTTAGTCGCAGGACATGACGTGGACCGTCTACTGCAACTGTGTAGAGAACAAAACCTGTTTCTGGCTAGCACCAACTTCCAAGAAAGTTATCGCCGACGTGCCGCCTGGCGTCCTCCCTCTGTATCTCAAGTCTGGACTCAGATTGATCACATGGCGATCAGCTACTGCTGGCGTGGTTGTGTACAAGACTGCCACTCCTGTTGGAGTACCTATCTGGACTCTGATCATGCCCTGATCTGGGCCAATCTTACCTTAATTTTCAGTGGCCAACGAAGTGACCGCCACCAACGGATTGATGTCAGCAAGTTGGTTGCAACTTCTGTTGCAAATATCGAACCGAGCTAGCTACCACTCCACCGAAAAGTATGGATGAACATTGGTTGCAGCTTCATGACACCATCAAAATGGCGAGTAAAGCCGCTTGCGGCTTCGCGAAACGTCCCGCTTATAAGCACTATGTTTCTTCTGGTTCTTTACAACTCATTGAAACCTGTCGGTCTACTCTGGGTGACCGTGAGTTTAACCACAAACGAAGGATGTTACGTAATGAAACCGGGAAAAGCTTGCGTAAGGACCGAGAAGCCTGGTGGTTGGAGCGTGCTAATGAGCTGGAAGCAGCAGCTGCATCTGGTAATTACCGGAAGCTCTTCCAACTCATGCGAGCCACTGGCAGCAAGAAATCTGGTATGAGCGAAACAATCTGTGAGGATGACGTGATGCCAATCACTAACATCCATCGACGTCTTGGACGATGGGCAGAATATTTCGAAGAGCAGTTCAACTGGCCTGCTGCTCCGGCAGCATCGGTCAGACTGTCCTGCTCTTCATGGCCGGCGACGACTAATCCACCAAATGAGACGGATGTCCGCAAGGAACTCCAACTCTTGAAACGTTACAAATCACTTGGCCCAGGTGATTTGCCTCCGGCTCTTTTTAAAGATGATGGTGAATTTCTGATTAAAGAACTGACTACGTTAATCAACTTGCCATCATCTGGACTGTTCTCTGGGATTGTCTATTGAAGGATGTGCCTGAGAAGTCTATTAACATCCTCAAAGCCCTATATACAAACACCTCAGGTAGTGAGGGTATATAGCCACCTTTCTAAATTCTTCCATTCAGGCAGGGTGGTTAGACATGGTTGCACAGTTTCACTGTTCCCCTTTGACTTTGTCATCGATGGTGTTGCAAAAATAACTCTGATTTCTGTAGGCAGTGGTTGTGTTGATCTGCTGTCTGGGGAAAGCTTCCCGGCCTTGAGTATGCGGATGATATTGTCTCACTTTACGATGTTACCACAGCCACACCAACGGCACTTAAACAGGTGGCGGATAGTGTCCGCATGTATGGTGTGTGCTTTGCATCTCCCAAGTGCGAAGTGCTTTTTAAAAGGCTGTCAGGACCCTTAACCTTCACTTATTCTGGGTCGAGAAGTTCGTGTATCTGTGTAGCTGCATTAGCGCCGGTGGTGGCGTGAGTGATGAGATCATTTAGCGTATAGTGAAAACCAGAGCGTCTTATGTCCATCTGAACCGTCTTTGGCGCCTTCGTGATGTTAGTTTGGTTGTCGAAGGTCAGATCTACAACACGTCGATGAGAACAGTTTTGTCCTATGCTTGTGAAACCTGGCCATTCCGAGTTGAGGATGTTAGACAACCTCTCTGTGTTTGATCATCGTTTTCTCCGAAGGATTGCTGACATCTAGTGGCAACACCCTGTTAGTAATGCAGGGGTTCGACATCGTGTGTTCGGGCGCAGAGACGATAATTTAATGAGTATCACTATGTTGAAACGTCGACTTCGATGGCTTGTACATGTCCTATGAATGTCGTGCCAACGAATTCCACGTCGTGCATTACTTACCGATTTTAAGATTGGTTGTGAAAAGCGATGAGGTGGTCAGTTCACAACATGGTGTCGTGATATGAA